TAAGAGTGAAAAGCTTTTCTCTTGATGATGAATGCTTGGAAATGTGTTGTGTAACCTTCTTCAAGTGTCCTTAACTTGTTTTTATATGTTGGAATGTGTTTGTGACCATTTCTAGCTGTTGGGGATCAATTATAACCTTTACCTACAATCAAAAACAACATTTAATACACAAGGGATCCTTCCTTTTGTGAAAGTGATTGATCATTTTTCAAATAATTCGACTGCTACAAGAAAGGGATTGATCTTTTAAGGGAAGGGATCAATCCTTTTCATCGAGGGATCGATCCTTTTGGTGAAGGGATCGATTCTTTTTCAAGGGGGTTGATCCTTTGGTCAAGGGATTGATCCTTTTGTTAAGGAATCGATCATTTGAGCAAAAAATGCTTGTAAACTTAACTTTAAAGCGCAAAAATGATCGAGTATATTTTTGAAAAAGTTCGACTAAGTTGAAAAACCTTTCAAATATATTTTTTTCAAGTTAATTTGGACTTTGAATTATTTTTTGAATCATTTAAACAAATTCAATTAAGTCCAAAAACATTTTTCACTTATTTTTTTATATCAAAATATAGGTTAACACAATATTTTTCATAACGGAAAATGACACCAAAATATATGTAAAAAATATAATGCTTGGTAGTTTTCTTTGTTTAAATTCTTCTACCCAAGATGCAAGCTTTATGTATATGCTCAATCTCTTGGTCTCTATTAGACCGAATGAATAGAGGATTACTGAGAACAAACATAATTCTAAACGGCATCCTAAAATCAATCAACAAAAAATATAAGTGTAAACATTAGATAATATATTTAAATTATTAATATTATAGGTATAAAAACATATTAAATGTCAAAATATTATTAAATATTTAAATGTATGAAACATAATTTAAATATTAAATTAATTTAAAATAAGATATTTAATAAATTTATACAATAAATAATTATCTATGTATATAATTAAAAAAATATGATAGAAAGGATTCAAATAAGGAAAACTCAATACATAATAGACAATATTGTCCAATTTGATGGTTTACCTATCTATCTGATAAAAAAATATCTAATAAAGCTTGACTCCTTGTTTTGCTAATTTAATTACTTTGTAAGATATTTTAATTTTAAAATTAATGAAATTAAGTCTTAACTTCTTTAATTTTTATATTTTAGTTATATTTTTGATTTCCCAACTATATTCTTTTCAAAATCATACCAACATTATATTTTTGTTTCATTTTGACTAGGGGTGAGTAAAACTCGACTCGACTCGAAAAATCGATTTTTTTTTCAATTTCTAGTTATTCGAATTGAGTTATTCGAGTCAATTCGAATTATAAATTCGGCTTTCGAGTTCGAGACAAGTTGAAATTTTGAATTTTTGAGTTACTCAAAAAATAAAAAATTTGACTAAGTATTTTGATAAATTTACGATTTAGTCCTTGATTTCATTATTTCTTCAATTCCTCCTTCATTTTAAGTCCATTTTTTACCAAATTTGATCCACATGTTCCTAAACCATAGTAGAATGCATGTGTACTTTCAATTACTCTTTTTGATAACAAATTTTTTATTTTTCAATTTAGTCCTTCAATTTTTCATAATCTCCTTATTTCTTCAATTCGTCATTTATTTTAAGTCCATTTTTTACCAAACTTGAGCCACATACTCCTATACCATAGTCAAATACATGTGTACTTTCAATTACTATTTTTGATAACAAATTTTTTATTTTTTTATTTAATCCTTCAATTTTCCATAATCTTCTTATTCCTTCAATTTATGGTTTATTTTAAGTCTTTTGTTTTACCAAATTTGTCTCATATACCACAATAGAATACCTATTTAACTTCAATTGTTATTTTTTTACTAAAGATGTACTCTCTCTTTTATTTAGTCGTTTACTTTGCATTTTACTCAATTTAGTCTTTTGACTACAATTGTTTGCAAATTTTTTCTTCTCACCAATTCCTTGACTCATTTATACTTTCATCAATATTTGACCCTCAAAATACTTTCTTTAAACTATAATATTATGAATATATTTCATAATTTTGGGTTGTATTTGATATATTAAATAACATTATAATATGAAAGAATATATATATATATATATATCATGGATAGATAACAACTGATAGTTGGTAGTTGATTCCAATAATTGGTTTGACTAACTAATTTGATTAGTGATTTGAGAAACTGATTTGATTAATTATTTATATAAAAGTGTTTGGTAAAATTTAGCTTATAGCTGATAGTTGATATGGTTAAAATAACAAATAAGGGTATGATACATTTAGTTGTTAAGTACATATATGTTTTATAATACTTTAGTCTTTATTGGGTTGAAATTATTCAGATAAAATGCTTTTGACAAGGAATTAAAAATTCCTTAAGAAAATTAGTGAATATTTTTGAAAATTTTAAATATATTTTTTACAGTTTAATATTTTAAAATATTAACCTTGTGAGATTCATAGATACTATTAACTTTGTATAAAAAAATCAATACTACATTTTTTACTTACATGTTTTACTTCTTAACTAAAATATATTTGAGAATCTACAACTAAAGAATGGAATAATAAAATAAAATTTCAGCTTAAATATATTAGGATGAAGGCTATTTCATTATATTAGGTTTTATGACAATGATATAATTATGGAAAAAATAAGGTCAAATAAGTCATTTAACATCTTATTTTGCAATCAACTTTTCCAAACCGCTGGATTTTCTAGAGTTTTCATTTTCAGTTTATTTTGCACAATAAGCTCTTTCAAAAAGGTGTTTACCAAACACTAAAAATGGAAGATTTGACTATCAATCAGCTATTTATGTCCAAATAAGCTAAAAGCTCTTCAAAAAGATGTTTGCCAAACACCCCCGAAGTAAAAAAAAAAAACTAGAACAAATCATTGTCATAATACTAAAAATATTAACCTTGTAAAATACACCTCTAATTTTGACCATCTGACGTTAAAAAAATTAACGAATGTTGACGTGTCATTATAGGATAATATTATATCAACATTGAAAAAATAATCAAGTCAATAATTCTATTTATTTTTTAACGACAATTAGCAAAATGGAACCAAAGCATAATATTATGTATGATTTTGAAGAAAAAAATTAAGTGACCAAAACAGAACCACAAGAATAGGTGAGTCACTAAATATGTAGTTTACCCTTTCATTATTTAAACTTAACACAATTTTGATTTATGATTGCTGATTTTGAAGGTGTTTTTTAATGTTTGCATGTTCTCCAACAGTGCACTGTGTTTATCTTTTTGGTCGATTATTAGGTTGGTTGTGAAATGAGTATTTTAAGCAATCAACTTTTTTGTATACAATTGGACTTAAATGCATTTTCTTAATGAAATAATTAAGGACACATTTAGGGATATCAATGCCAACATAATTAAGATGGGATTCTATCATCCAAATTTTGGTTTTTTTGAGTTACTTCATTACCCTCAACCCATTACCAAAAACAGTGATTGGGTTCATTTCTTTTTCTATTTTCACTTTCTATAAGTACATATTTAATATTATAATAACACTAACAGTAATATTTAATAACGAAAATCTTTATAATTTTACTATAAAAATATATAAATACATATCTAATATTTAAAAAAATAATAATAATCATAAAAAATAGAATAAAAACCCTACCAAAAGAAAAACCTTAAACCTATAAGTGATTGGGTTCATTTCTTTTAATCAATGAGATAATTTGGTTCGTGCTATGTTTATAATTTTATTCAAGCGCCAAAACTTAAATCCTAAAGCTCTCACGAAATAAGGTCCCGTTTGATTCAAGGATTATTTCATTCCTGAAGGAATTTTTTTTCTGAGTTAAAGATACTCACGTTTGGATGAACAATATTCCCAAATAAGCAATGTTATTAAAATCGGACCGGATTGGCCGGTTTGACCGGTTGAACCGTGAACCGGTGGCCTGTCCGGTCCAGTTAACTCTCAAAACCGGATTAGCACAGAATCGGTAAAGAACCGGAAGAACCGGCTGAAAACCGACAAAACCGGGGTGAACCGCCGGTTCACTTTTTTTCTTTAAAAAAAATTAAACCAAACGACGTTATTTGTTCAACGAGCCGAGTCAAATTCGAGTATTGCTGAGCTCGACTCGAACTCAAAAAACTTTAAAAGTAAGCTCAACTCGACTCAAAAACTCACGAGCTAAAAATTATCAACTCGAAATATAATATTAAAACTTGAAATCGAAAAGGCTCGAACTCAAAAAAAAAAATTAGAAGTTCGATTGAAGGCTAAAATTTAAGTTCAATTGAAGCCTAAAATTTGAGCTCAATTGAAGCGAAAGAATAGTTCGCTTTGTGCTCACCAAAAGGCTCCATGATTTTGAATGTCAAATTACCTCTATTATTTATAGAAGTAAGTTGGGATGCTCTTCTATGTTTCTTAGTCATGTGGGATTGTTTTGTTCTCATATTTTTACTCTTTAAACTTTTTGGATACTCTTCTATGTTTCTTAGCCATGTGAGATTGTTTTTTTTTAAACAATTAAACCAAATGACATCATTTGTTATAATTTTTTTAAGCCCCAATTTTATTTTTTTGATTATAGTTATATAATTATATTTATTATTTAATATGTTTTACCTTAAATATTATGTTGTAGTTGATTTGAATCATTTTGTTTCACTTAATTTTATAGTTTTTTATTTATACATGTTATGAGTTATATTTTTATACCTTTTAATATTGTAAACTTAAAAAAAGTGTTACATATATATTAATATTGCTTTGAATATTATGTAAAATTAAAAAAAAATTATTTTATATAAAATCCGATTCAACTGCGATTAAATCCAATTGAACCAGTGAACCAATGAATTAGTACCTTCACCGATTCAATGTCCGATCCGATTTTAAAAACATTGCAAATAAGAGTAAAAATTAAATACAACAGTGGTTTTTGTGTTATGTTTTACTGGAATATTAATCTCACGTCTCCCTTATGTATTTGTTTATTCCCGTCTTCTATTGGCTAAAAAAACCCTCATCTCCCGTTAGCTTACTTCTGGCTGAAACAAAATTTCTTGCGAGAGTTGTTGCAAAGAGGTTTCCATTACTGCTCCAACGGACTTCTTCTTCTGTGGTGCTCTATCTCTATCTGTTAATTTGTTGTTAGGTTCGGCTCTCTCTCCCTATTTGTAGTTTTTGTTCCTCCCCAGTCGTACTGTTAAATCCACGCGTTTCTATTATTCAAAGGTTACTCCACCATCTTTGTCTTCTCAGTTCTGTCTTTTCTAGCACTCGATCTTGGACTGGGCTTTGATGGGTCTTTGGTTTCGGTTTTGGTTATTTCGTTTGATTCATCTAGTTTGACACGGTCTGGCCAGCGGAAGTGTATAGATCCTTCGGATTCTCCTACAAGTTTGGTACTAACTTTATAGTCCTTTTCTTATTTCTGAATAAAATGTTTTTGAAAGATTTGTTTGATATTGAATGCGAACAAGGAGTATTTCTTTGTAATGGTGTCATAATGTTTCTCTTTTTTTTTTTGGTTTAGTCTCGAGTAGAATCTGCAAAATGGAGTGATTTAGTCTCAACAGGTTATTTTCCAGAAGTTGAACCAGTGGAAGTGAGAATTTTGGGTAATATGAATTTGGTTGTTGTATGTGGAAGTTTTAATCACTGCCTGGAATAAACTGAGAAACCTAAAAATCTTTCAAGTCGGTTGTAGTTGAGTTCGGTTCAGTTTTAGTCCGGACTCTGGATAATATATAAACACATTTGGTCTGTTTCTGGCTGAGAAATTAAGAACCTGAAGACCAAATTGATCCAAGTTGGTAGAATTTGGTTTCGTATGACATTTGATTCATCTTCTGTTTGGTTTTTAAGAAGATGGGCCATTATTACCCATTCTCCGGTTAATTTATTGAATCATAGTTTAAGAAGTGCTTAATCTTTGAATCTCGGAGCTGATATACAGTACTGTTAAATCCGAAGTGAAGCGGGCTATTTCCGACATCCAAAATGAGCTTCAGGGTGTAAGTTATTTTAATTTTTTTGGATTCAAGATTCTACTTTGGGTACCTAGATGAGTTCAAGTCCTTAAACACTAGGTTACTTTTGTCTTTGAAGCTGCTTTTCTCAACATGCTCTTTTAAACTATGACCTTCCTAGTACAGAGGTCAAACTGTATGGCGGTCAGTGATCTGTTATTGCTTCTTATGATTTCAGGCTATCAGGAGGAATAATCCAACTACCGATGCAGTCGAGTTTGTGTCAGACATACAACATGAATATGCTACAAAACTCGAGCTGGTAATTTTCTTCTTTGCAATCATCTATATTATTCATGAATCACGACTCGTGTGCAAGTGTCAGATATGAGCATGCATTTGACACATGTCTGTTCAATGTTCAGTATATGGAGTACTTAATGGGTCAGATCCTCGTATTTATATCCGAAAATGTATTAGAAAAGGGTTTCAAATATGAGCACCTGAAAGAAAAATTTAAAATCAAACTAGCATAGCTGCAATGACTACAACATTAATCTTCTTACTAGCAGTCTAGCTTCATTTATTGATGCTATATTAGGAGTTCTGAGATACTATTAGGTACCATTTATAGAGTATTGTGTGATATTTGAGTTAAAGATATATGTTAGAGGAGAAGAAGGGCGATGCAAAATTTTGTAAGACATTTATAATTTTCAGATAGATTTGAGTTGAAGAGATACGAGAACTTGGCCACTAATATCACCCCTATTTTCTTTTAAACTGTGCCAATCCATTTCGGTCTGGATTTGTGAGGCAGATCAACAGCACATTCCCTTTGGTTGGCCAGATCAGAGGCCTACGGCTTTTTCTTCTGCTTCCCACCTCCTTCCCTCTCCCTTTGGGGCGTTGGACCCTCAATATAATCTGGTGATTGCTAGGATTCTTTTACCATGTATCCTGATTGGATTGGTTGTTCTGGCCTTGTCAACCAATTTAATAGTGTTGTTTAATCTCAGCCAAATTACTTGACAGAATGAAAGTTCAACATAAGTGAAAATATTTGTTCTTTTTGGTACCAAATTTTAAGTAGTGCATGTTACTCTGGCTAAATAAATATTTAACGAGTATATTTTCCTATTTCCTTACATTTGCAGTCCCAGGAACGTGCCAGACAACTTCGAGCCGACCTAGCTGTAGAGGAACACCGGGGCATGGAGCTTAGTAGGAGAATCCGAAGGATCTATACACTTCCGCTTGGAGGACCCAATAGTAGCGTTAATATGCATTTATTAAATTAATAAACGATGTACCACTTCAACATAATTAAAACTCATTTCGAGAAATAAGAAATAGAAGCATTATATGTGCTTTTAAAAAAGGACTAATTTTTACCTTGGCCATGTTAAAAATAAAATTGGAAATGGTTGTTAATGCTCTACTTCGAGCATAGACAAAAGATTCAACAGTCAGATTTTCGAATTGAATTTTAATCTTTGGGAATTCCAAATCCACTCTGCAACATCACAAACCAGAACAATTTTTAAATAACAATGAAGATCACTCTAGGGGATAATAATGATAACAACCTCAACCAAAAATTTTAAAATAAAATGTTGAAATTATTGAAAGAATAAATATAAATTTTAGCTTTTGTTCTTATTTAAAAATAGCTTAAATTATAAAATTTAGCTTTTGTTCTCTTAGGAGTAAAATGGTTCATCTATTAAAATTTTCATATGTTTATTTAGTTAAATCTTGATGTAAACTTTTAATATATTTTTAGATAAATAATGTAAAAAATAATATTATTTATAAATTTTTATTCTACCCATTTATCTTTTAATTTTTTTAAAAAAATTATATATAAATTTTATTAAAAAGTATATAAATTTAAAATAATAAAGTAATATATTTTCGATGATTTTTTATATAAATATTTTCATTTAAATATTTAGAATTTCACTTGTTAACACATAATATAGCACAAAGATAATTTGGTAAAATATACGTTCTAGTAATCTCATATTCCTTCAACCAAATATTGTAATTATACATTTATGCCAAACAAACTAAACACAGTAATGTAACATTCCCAATAATGTATCAGGTAATGTTACATTACGATAATCTTATTCCCGAAAGTAATGCTACATTCTATGAACCAAACGCACCCTAAGTGAAACTCATGTTTTACGTTATCATCTTTTAAGTTAATTTTTATTATGAATTGATAATTGAAGACAAGCAGGGAAAGAGAATTTGCAGGTGAACTGTTATCCCGAATTTAGACAATAATTGACCCAACATTTGCTCCATGCCGAAACAAACACATTACTTTTAAGGACTTCAGTAATGCTGAAAACTTCTATTTGATTTCATTTATGGTATTCTCTCAAGAAAGGCGGGTTAATATACGGCTAATATACGGCGTTACCGGATACATTAAAAGATATTTAACAAATTCGGTTTAGCGCTATCGGAAATGTTGAGTAATAATAATGCAGTAGGTCTAAATCATGAAGAAATATTAAAAAAATTGGCAACCGGTAAACTTAGCTTGTCGGTTTATGTCGATACTTTATAAAACTGTATCGATCCACATCAATATAACAGGTAAAAATATGACAAAACCGGTCTCGAAAAGATAAAACCGGTAAAGCGATATCGGCTATATTGAAAGTGTCGATACTTTAATATAAGTATTGACACTTTGTGAATTTAAAAGAGAAGTAGTTTTAGAGCCTATAAAGTGTCGATATTTTATAATAATGTATCGATCCACAATGATATAACAGGTAAAAATATGACAAAATCGGTCTCTAAAGGACAAAACCGGTATAGAGCGATCAGATATATTGAAAGCGTCGATACTTTAATATAAGTATCGACACTTTGTGAATTTAAAAGAGAAACAGTTTTAACGCCTATAAAGTGTCGATATTTTATAACAATGTATCTATCCACAATGATATAACAGGTAAAAATATGACAAAATCGGTCTCTAAAGGACAAAACTAGTATAGAGCGACCGAATATATTGAAAGTGTTGATACTTTAATATAAGTATCGACACTTTGTGAATTTAAAAGAGAAGCAGTTTTAGCGCCCTTAAAGTGTCGATACTTTATAACAATGTATCGATCCAAAACGATATAACAGGTGACAAAACCGGTCTCTAAAGGACAAAACCGGTATAGAGCGATCGGATATATTTAAAGTGTCGATACTTTAATAAGTACGCGTAATAAATTATCGATACTTTCAAATAAATAGTTAATTATACTATCGAAAGTATCGACACTTTTGTAGTTGTATCGATTAAATATAAATAACATATCCGGTGAAATTATAAAGCGCATGGTTAAATATCATCTGAAAAATAGATAGAACGGACGAGTTTTTGAAATCAAAGCATAATTGTTGCTGCATTTCAGAAGGTGTTTCTAAAGCGAAGTTTGTTTGTTTGTTGCTACAATCGAATCGAAAAGTACGTTCTCGAAACCCTAGTTTTTTTATTATTACAGTAATCGAGAATATGGTTTTTATATGTTGTTTGTGGTTTTGGAGTAAAGAAGCATTTGTGACCGATTACTGGTAGAAAGTGATATTCTAGGTAAAATATAAATATTGATACTTTTATTAAATATTATAGGTAGAAAATGATATTATAGGTTTTATAAATGTGCCGATACTTGGAGTATTGAGTGTTTCAATTCGTTTGAAGGAAATATGGATTAGGGTTTTTAGGTTTGGTTTGGAGATTTCGAATCGAAACCAAGAAGGATTTAGGACCGATTATATAATATTATAGGTAGAAAATAAATATGGATACATGTATATAATATTATAGGTAGAAAATTATATTTTAGGTTGTATAAATGTGCCGACACATTTTGTAGTGACCATTCAAATTCTTTTGAAGAAAATCGTTTTAACACAAGAGTATTTATATATATTTGTATATTGAATAAAGTGTATGTAACAAGTATTTGATTTGATTTGCGTAAACTGATATATGAAGGAAAAATGGAGTCAATGGGTGGAAAAATTGTTGGTGGCGCAGATGACTTTGAAATTGAGGCCGAGACTCGAAAGCAACCAAAGGGTAGATATATGTACTTCTAGTAAGTATCAATGTCTTTTTATTATTATTGCTGAAATGATAATTGGATTAAAGTATTGAATAACTTTAAATTGATTACAAATTTTAAATGTTAACAATATGACCGAACGCCAAAGGATGAAGGAAGATGGCGAACACATCGGTTCGGTATGTAAATTGAAATTGATATTGAGTATTATTTAGCGTTAATGTATTGATTAAGAAACGTTTATGCTTAATATTAGGTGAGAAATGATGTGTTGGAGATATGGAATTCGATGAGTGATGTTGATAAGGAACCTTACATCGCACAGTCAAAGATGGATAGTGAAGAATACAAAGAATGGAGGAAAGCACATGAAAAGAAGGTATTCATTAAACTTGTAAATACGTTGATACAAAATATATAAGAACTATAACATTATATATTGTTAAAAAATGTAGGAAGTGTCGACAAGGTGCAACATTAAAAGGGTGAATTCATTAATTAAACACCTTAAGGAAAAGGTTCAGTTGAATGTGCTGGGAGAAATAGGGTTTGGATCGTTGGTAGGAGTAAGGGATCGACCTATTCGGAGGGAATTGTGTCGATCCTTGATGGCAAAATTTGATGTCGAACAATGTATTGCTAAATATGGTGATTTTTTATTTCCTCTGGGGATCCCATGTGTTGCAGCCGTCTTGGGGTAGGAAATGAAGTCAAAAGTGTTGTAGAAGTCTCTAAGAGTAAGAACCGGAAAGCACTTGCCTCCAAATATGGTTTGAAGCAGAAGGTGACATATGCTGAACTTGAAAAGGAAATCAAAAGTGGATCTTACGGGGGGATAAGCTGAAGGCTCGAGTTCTATTGTACCTTGTCGAGATCTTTCTTTGTCCAACGGGTGATACGTCAACGAACAATGACTATATGAAGCTCATTTGCGATGAAGGCTTGAAGGGTGAATTCAATTGGGCTGAATATGTCCATTCAAGATTGATTGAATGAGTTGAAGAACGTTTTTGTTTTTTATATAAAATGATAGTATAATTATTATATAAAAATTATAAATTTTATTATAAATGCAGGTTGCACTGTTCGATTTTTGGTCGGGCTGTGAGGCAGTGCCGACTTATGAAAGAATCGGAGTGGCACGCATCCGTGCATGGGGGAAGAAGTTGGATAGTCCAAGGAAGCAAGAAAGGGTAATAAATATAATTAAATAATATTAAGAATATAATAAATGTCTTAATATTGTAATTTAATTTTGAAGGTTATTGGCAAGGAGGTAGAGGAGGCAGAGGAGAAGAAAGAAAACATGGTTGTATTGGGGGATGACGGTGAGGGAAAATAGAGTAAATTTGACATTTTGATGTCTGAATTGGCTGATATCAAAAAAATCCAATTTGATATCATGAAAAGACAATCAAGAGTCGAAGAGAAACTTGAGAGAGTCGAAGAGACACTTGAGAGGCATAAGGGGGATGTAGAAGGAAAAATAAATGGAGTGGTGAAAGAAGTTAAGGTGTTGAGGGGTGAAGTGGTGAAAGAAGTTTAAGTGTTGAGGGATGAAGTGGTGAAAGAAGTTGAGGTGTTGAGTGGTGAACTTAAGACGGTGATGGGTGAAAAAATTGATGGAGTGGTGAAGGAGGTTGTGGAATTGAGGAGTGAACTTACGGGGGTGAAGGGGTTGATGAATACTTAGATGAAGGAGAAAAATTGAAGGGTGAAATAAAATAGATGAAGAGCTATGTAGAGAAAAAATACGATGGACTGAAAAAATATGAAGAAGAAAAGATGGAGGAAGAAGAAAAGATGGAGAAAATGATGAGGAAGGATGTCGATGTGATCTATACATCGGAGAGTGTTATAGATGCAGATTTGGATTCGGAATGTCCTGCACCCCAGAAGAAGAAGCAGAAGGTAAGCTGAATAAAAGAAAACTTAATTTGATCTTTATCATGTTGTTGTGACAAAAAATTTTATGCAAAACTATAGGTTGAAAAAGCGGATATTCCAAGCTGAATTAATGACCTTGAAGTTGTAATTTGTGATTATTTATGGAATAGTGGGTTAGAATCGGGGTAAGTGAAATATATTTCTTTGTGAGTGATATTTAAATATTTCATGAAAAAGATATTAATCCTAATGATTCATACAAATGTTCTGTAATCTCAATGGGAAATCAATTCGCTAGTGTATCCGACATTGCAACGTTGAAGCCTACGGAATGGGTTGGCAGTATGGTAAGTAGAAAGTACAAAATGTT